GTGGTTCTTGTCGCTGGACACACTTCAGCAAAGACTATCTGGGAACTTCGAGGAACGAGGGTGATGACTCACAAGTCCTCACAAGAGGGCACATGGCACCCTCGCGGGCCACACAGCGAGATCACAGGTAAAGAGAGGCAGTGTAGACCTGGGGCTCTGCCTCTGTTAGGGTCCCAGGGTGGGGTGTCCAGGATTTTGTGGGTTCACTCTTTACTCGTGAATTTATTTTTTTAAAGATTTTATTTATTTATTTGAGAGAGAGCAGGAGCGGGGGGAGAGGCAGAGGCAGAGGGAGAAGCAGACTCCCCCCTCTGAGCAGGGAGCCCGATGCGGGGCTCGATCCCAGGACCCTGGGGTCATGACCCGAGCCGAAGGGAGATGCTTCACTGACTGAGCCCCCCCAGGCGCCCCTTCACTGGTGAATTTCAAGCATAAGAAGATGAATTGGGGCGGGGAGGGAGAAGTGGGGTCACTTGGGCAGTCAAGTATCTAGGGCACCCAGGGCTTTCGGAAAGAGGGAGCTTCAGGGGCCGGGCAACCGAATTCCTTATCTGGCGGTGTTGCTCAGAGCTGGGTCTTACTGCTGGCGATAATGTTTAATCTGGAGGGACACTGGCAATCAGCTTGATGTCAGGAGCTGACAATGCACTGTCCCCAGCTGTCTGGCAGTGGGCCCTGGGTGATCAGGGCAGCAGGATCCTGGCTCAGCGTGTGGGCTCTGGACGGATTGGTTTGCACGTGAAATGTGCACTCCACTGGTGAGCTGTTTGCTGTCTCTGGGAACTGGCTAACTCCATGAGCAACAGTGCCTCCTGGTCAGTGAGGCCCCGGATGTGAGGGACAGTCCCTCCCGGTCAGCGAGGCCCCGGATGTGAGGGACAGTCCCTCCCGGTCAGCGAGGCCCCAGATGCCAGAGCATGAGGAATACAGAAAATCTAGATCATACGCACCCTGACTGCTGGGTGTTGAGGGCAAGGTTCTTACCTAATCCTCATTTTCCTCATTTCCAAATGGCATGGCCAGGGCCCCCTGTAGCCTCCTTTGCCAGGGCAGGACCTTCCTGACATCCCTGAAGCTGAACTGGGTGTCTTGCCCCCGGCTGGGCCCATGCAGCCCACTGCTGGGAGAGCACCCAGGGTCCCACGTAGGGTGTTGGGGCTCCCACATCCGGCAGGCAGGAAGCTGGCCCCTGATGATGAGACGCTGGGGAGGGGTAGAGTGAGCAGGTGCACCAGGGAGGGCTTCTTGGGGGTGGTAAAGTTTGGCTTTGGGGCCCCACCTACCTCCCAGTGTGGGGAAGGTGGTTGAGGTAGGTTTTGGAGTCTGGGCCTTGGGCAGCATATGGGGGTGCTGAGCGCTCCGTCAGGCAGTGCGGGTGGGGGGCAGCGGGAGTGAAGGCTTGGGGGGTGGGCTGCAGCGGCCATAGAGGTCCCATCTCCTGGGGTACAAGGCCTTCTCTTGGCACCTGCTCAGCCAAGGTATACTGAGGCAGAAGGAGAACATGGGCTTCTTCCCGCTGACAAGAAGGAGTCCTACCACAGTGTAGGATTTTCTTGTTTTTATGTTTTTCTCCCTTTTGCTCAGGCAGGGTCAGTGTCAGTGGGTCAGAGGGCGAGGGGGAAGGTAGGAAGCCACTTGTCACATGCCACCTAAGCAGAGGTATGGCTCCTCCGTGGGCGTCACGTGGACTCGGTGGAGCAAACCTCCCCCACGGGTTCGCTGTCATGGGTGCTCTTCTGTTCCACGTATCAAACGGTGTCCTTTGGGGGCGGCTTGGACGTCAGCATCTAGAATTTCTCTGTCATGTCTGGTGCCTTGGGATGGCCGGGCAGCAGGACCACTCCCTCTCTCTGTGGCCCCCTGAGCAGGACGGCCTTCTCTCCTTCGTGGCAACTCAGGGCTCCTCAGAGTGCAGAGAGGAGACCACCAGATCTCCTCCAGCTGGGTCCTGGAACTGGGCCAGCATCACTTCTGATGCATTCTGTTGCTTCCATGGAGTCCCAGGTCAGCCCAGATGGCGTGGGGACCACACAAGGGCGTGAACCCCGGGAGGACCCAGATTGCGGTGCCATCCTTGCAGACCAGCTTCCGTGAAGGGGGCAGAGGGCATGAGCTGGGGACGGGGCAGGCAGGGGTGGGGGGCTCCCTGTCCCCTTGAGCCAGCTGACTATTGTGGGCCCATGGCTTTGCTCTCGGGGACAGCTCTGTCATCTGCACGCTGGGACAAGCACAGGGACAAATGTCTGTTGCTCTGAGCATGCTGGGGTTTCAGCTACCTTTGTTCCTCGGAGCGGGGCTTGCTCTGCTGTCCCTTGCAGTGAGTCACTTCCAGGAAACTGCAGGGACGGTCCAAGGTTTAAAGTGGGGAGGGTGTTTGGGGAGCCTAGGAGGAGGGGGCAATGGGCCAGGGCAGGTGGCTGGGAGGGGGTGGAGCAGGGCGGGGTGGGGCTGCAGGTGAGGATGGGGAGCAGGATGGAGGGGTGTGTGTGTGTATCTGTAACTCTTGTCATTCCTTTTTTTTTTATTGAGGAAAAATTCACATTAATCAGTTTAAAGTAGACAACTCCTTGGCATTTAGTACACTCACAGTGTTGTGCACCTAGTTCCAAGACCTTGCCATGCTCCCAAAGGAAGCTTCCCCCATTAGCACTCACTCCCCATCTCCCTCCCCCTATCCCCTGGCTCCTAATAACCCACTTTCTGTTTCTGTGGATTTGCTTGTTCGGGATATTTCATATGGATGGAATCCTACCACAGGTGGCCTTTGATGCCTGGCTTCTTTCACTGAGCATCAAGTTTTCAAGGGTCTTCCCCCAATGTTTCCTTGTGCCCCTTTTTATTACTACCCCCCCATGACCCAGGCAACGATTGATTGGCTTCTGACACTATAGATTCGTTGTATTTCTATTTTTTATTTTATTTATTTATTTTTAAAGATTTTATTTGTTTATTTGACAGACAGCGAGAGAGGGAACACAAGCAGGGGGAGTGGGAGAGGGAGAGGCAGGCTTCCCGCGGAGCGGGGAGCCCGATGTGGGGCTCGATCCTAGGACCCTGGGATCATGACCTGAGCCGAAGGCAGATGCTTAACGACTGAGCCACCCAGGTGCCCCTACATTTCTATTTTTTTTTTAATATTTATTTAAATAATCTCTACACCCAATGTGGGGCTCGAACTCTTGACCCCGAGATCAAGAGTTGCATGCTCTTCCAACTGAGCCAGCCAGGTGCCCCTTAATTGCATTTCTAGACTCATATAGTAGGTAGCCTGTTTTATCTGGCATTTTTTACCTGACATGCTTATTTTAAGATCTGTACATATTGTTGCATGTACTAAAAGTTAACTCATTTTTATTGCTAAGCCGTATTCCGTTGCATGGCTGTCCCACACTTATGTACCCAGTTCCCCTGTTGATGGATATTTGTGTCCTTTCCAATTTTTTTTTAAAGAAGAACCTGCTGGAAGAATTTTTTTTTTTTTAAGATTTTATTTATCTATTTGACAGAGAGATTGAGCACGAGCAGGGTGAGTAGCAGGCAGAGGGAGAGGGAGAAGCGGGGAGCCTGATGTGGGGCTCAATCCGAGGACCCTAAGATCATGACCCGGGCCAAAGGCAGCTGCTTAACTGACTAAGCCACCCGGGCACCCCTCCTTTCCAATTTTTTATTATTACAAATAAACCTGCTATGAACATTTAGGTCTAGGTTTGTTCATCTGCTCTTATTTCTTTTGGTTAAGTACCCCAGGAATGGGGTGGTTGCATCACATGGTAGGTATATATTTAATTTAATTTAATTTGATTTAATTTAATTTAATTTTTAAAATAGGCTCCATGCCCAACATGGGGCTTGAACTCACAGCCCTGAGATCAAGAGTTGCATGCTCTACCCACTGAACCAACCAGGCACCCCTGTATATTTAATTTTGAAGAAACACCAAAATGCCTTACAATATGGGTGGACTCTCACTTTCCCTCCCCCAGCAATGTATTTATTCTTGTCCCTTCACTTGCTATGGGCAAGCTTTTAAATTTTAGCCATTCTAATAGGTGTGCAATGATGTTACACGGAGCCTTTTTTTTTTTTTTAAGATTTTATTTGTTTATTCATAAGAGACAGAGAGAGAGAGAGGCAGAGGGAGAAGCAGGCTCCCTGCCGAGCAGGGAGCCCGATGCGGGACTCGATCCCAGGACCCTGGGATCATGACCTGAGCCGAAGGCAGACGCTTAACCATCTGAGCCACCCAGGCACCCTGAGCCATTTTTTTATTGACGTGAAATTCATGTAACAGAAAATCATTTTTAAAGCGAACAGTTCCATGGCATTTAGCACACTCATAATGTTATGCAACCAGCACCTCTAACAGGTAGTATTTGAATCTTTTCATGGGCTTGTAGCATCTCAGAAAATATCTACTTGGGACTTTGACTGGGATTGCATTGCATTTCTAGGTTAATTTGTGGAGGAGAACAAATGTTCATTGAGCACCGACTGGGTGGCAGGCATTGTAGGTGCTGGAGACTGGCCTTGAACCAAACAAGGCCCCCTCCCCCATGGAGGGGAGTGAGTGGAGGTAGGGTGAGGGGGTAGATGGTCAGCTACTAAACCCTACTAAACCAGTGCGTCGGTGTCAGATGGTGCTAAGTTCTGGGGACTAAGAACCAAAGGAGGAGGGATGGGCATGCTGGGTTAGGGGAAAGAAGGGTCACTGTCTTTATATATGATAATCTAAAGAGGCTTCCAGAACAGAGAGACATTCAAGTAGAGACCCAAAGGAAGTAGATGAACTGTGCAAGTATGTAAGTGGAGAGCATTCTGAGAAGAGCAGACAGCAAGTGCAAAGGCCCTGAGGCAGAAGTGTGTTCCAGAAACAGGAAGTCTGGAGGGAGTGTGGAGGGGGTGGTGCAGTGGTAAGAGATGATGTCAGGGGGTGGGGGTGGGGAAGCACAGAGTGAGTGTAATGAGATGGGTCCTTTGGGAGATTTCAGCAGAGAGGTGCATGCTCTGACTTAGGCTTTTAAGGGTCTTCCTGCAATGAAAAAAAAAAAGCCCTCTTTAAGGAAGTGATTTATTTAACTGAAAGCTTCTGGCTCAGGACTATGTTTTCTCGTTTGTTTTGTTTTTGCCAAATTGGTTTAATAACAGCAGTGTCTAGGTACACTTTGTTCTGAAGCAACAATTATGTTAATTTGTAATGCAGAATGAAAAACCATGCTGGGGAAGAAAGGGATCTTTCTGATACTTTCTTCTATTCTCATTACAGTGTGAAATTTCCACTTGGATGGAGTACTTTGGGTTACATGATTAAGTTTCTTCATTTATTCAAAACGTATTTGCTATAGATGAATGTTCCCAGCCAGACAATCGCCAAGAGCCCAACTGTAGAACCAGCCGAAAGGTCCATCATCGGATGAATGGATAAACCCGATGTGCCCCTTCCGTACAATGGGGTATTACTCAGCCATAAAAAGGAATGAAGTCCTGTTACGCCACGGCGTGGATGAGCCTTGAAAATATCATGCTAAGTGAAAGGAGCAGAAGGTCAGGTATCATATGATTCCATTCATATGCCATGCCCAGAATAGGTAAAGCTGTAGGGGCAGAAAGAGAGTGGTTGCGGGGGGCTGGGGGAAAGAGGGATATGGGTGGGTAGCTAGAGGCTATGGGGTTTCTCCTTGAGGACTGAAATGCCCTACATTTCCTTGCAGTGCTCACTGCACAAAATCTGCAAATATACTAAAACCAACCAAATTATACATTTAAGTGGGTGAATTCTAGGGTATGTGGCTTGTCGTGGGCTAAGTCGTGTCCCCTCCAAACTTCTGTGCGGAAGCCCCAGTCCTCTGTACCTCAAAACATGACTGTATTTAGGGATGGGACCTTTATTATTTATTTTTAATTTTAAAAATTCTGACAGGGCCTTTAAGGAGGTGATTCAGGAAGCCATTTGGGTGGGCCCTGATCCAATATGTCTGGTGTCCTTCCAGGCAAAGGAAATTTGGATACACAGAGTGGCCTCATGGATGTGAATGTGGAGGGTCGACCACGTGAGGACACAGGGAGAAGGTGGCCACCTGCCAGCAGAGGAGGGAGGCCTCAGAGGGAACCAGTGGACTTGACCTTGGACTTCCAGTCTCCAGGACTGTGAGAAAAACATGTGTTTAAGCTCCGGAGTGTGGGGTATTTTGTTATGGTTGTCCTAGCAGGCTAAAATGTGTGTCATATCTCAAAAGCTGTTTTATTTATTTATTTATTTTTAAATTTTATTTATTTGACAGAGAGCATAAGCAGGGAGGAGGATCAGAGGGAGAGGGAGAAGCAGGCTCTCTGCTGAGCAGGAAGCCCGACGCAGGGCTTGATCCCAACACCCTGGGATCATGACCTGAGTCGAAGGCAGATGCTCAACTGACTGAGCCTCCCAGGCTCCCTGCTCAGTGGGGAGTCTGCTCCTCCCTCTGCCCCACCCCCCAACTCATGCGCTCACTTGCTCTCTCTCTCAAAAATAAATAAAATCTAAAAATAATAAAAACTATTTGTTAGATTAGTTGCAGGTTCACAGCAAAATTAAGAGGAAAATACAGAGATTTTCCATATACCTCTTACCCCTCCCCGATATGCATAGCCCGCATTATGGATATCCCGGTCAAAGTGGTACGTTTGTTACAGCTGATGAACCTGCCCTGACCCATCATTATCACCTAAAGTCAAGGTGCACTCTTGGTGATGTACATTCTGTGGGTTTGGACAAGTCTGTAATGACGTGCGTCTATCATCATAGGATCAATTACAGTGTTCTCACTGCCCTAAAAATCCTCTGTGCGCTGCCTCTTCATCCCTCCCTCCAACTCTGGCAAGATTTTTTTACTGTCTTCACAGTTTTGCTTTACCAGAATGTCATAGAGTTAGGATCATACAATCTGTAGACTCTTCAGATCAGCTTCTTTCACTTGGTCAGATGCATTTCAGTTTCCTCCATACAGTTTTGTGGCTTGATAGCTCATTTCTTATTAGCAGTGAATAATATCCCATTGTCTGGATGTCCCGCAGTTATCTGTTTACTTACTGAAGGACATTTTGCTTGCTTCCAGGTCTTTGCAAATATTGATAAGACTGCTACAGACATCTGAGTGCAGGCTTTTGTGTGAACATAAGTTTTCAATACCTCTGGGTAAATACCAAGAAGCATGATTGCTGGATCGTATGGTAAGATAGTTTTTGTAAGATAGTTTTGTATGATATGTTTAGTTTTGTCAGAAATCGCTAAACTGTCTTCCAGAGTGGCTGGACCATTTTGCATTCCCACCAGCAGTGAGTGAGAGCCCTGTTTGCTCCACAGCCTCGCCAGCATTCGGTGTTGTAAGTGTTTGGGTTTTTGTTTTTGTTTTTGTTTTTGTTTTTTTTTAAGATGTTATTTATTTATCTGACAGAGAGACAGCGAGAGAGGGAACACAAGCAGGGGGAGTGGGAGAGGGAGAAGCAGGCTTCCCGCCCAGCAGGAAGCCCGATGTGGGGCTCGATCCCAGGACCCTGGGATCATGACCTGAGCTGAAGGCAGATGTTTAATGACTGAGCCATTCAGGTGCCCCTGGGGTTTTTTTGTTGTTTTTTTTTTGTTTTTTTTAAGATTTTATTTATTTATTTGAGAGAGAGAGAGCAAATGAGCGGGGAGAGAGGCAGAGGGATAGGGAGAAGCTGAATCCCCACTGAGCAGGGAGCCCAACGTGGGGCTGAGCTGAAGGCAGACGCTTAACCCAATGAGCCACCCAGGCGTCCCCAGTGTTTGGGTTTTTAATAGGTGTGTGGTCATATCTTGTTTTAATTTGCAATTCCCTGATGACAGATGATGTGGTGCATCTTTTCGTATGCTTATTTGCCATGTGAATATGTTTTGGAATTAGACAGTGGTTGCACAGCCTTGTGAATATGCTAAATGCCACCAAAGTTTACCTTTAAATGTACTATACGCCACTGAAGTGTAATTTTATGTTATGTGGATTTCATCTCAATAATAAAACCAAACCAAAAAAAAAAAAAAAAGAAAAGGTGAAAGATGAATCAGCATATCTGTGTGCTGATGGGAATTATCTGGTTCAGAGGGAGCACTGTGGGGGTGGCTCCTCGCATAGGCAAGTGGGTTTGGGAGCGGGTGGCCGCCTGGCTTTGCTTGGGCTCGGGGCGTGTTGCTTACTCACAGCAGTGGAGGGAAGGCTCGGCTGGCATGTGGGTCTAGATGCAGGCTGGCAGACTGGTGGGGGTGATGACTATGGATGTGTCTTATTTTTTATTTTTTAAGATTTTTTTTATTTATTCATTTGAGACACAGAGATACAGAGAGAGAGAGAGAGCATGAGCAGGGGGAGAGGCAGAGGGAGAGGGAGAAGCAGGCTCCCCGCTGAGCCAGGAGCCCCATGCGGGGCTGGATTCCAGAACCCTGGGATCAGGGCCCGAGCCGAAGGCAGACGTTCAACCATCGGAGCCACCCAGGCGCCCCTCGGATGTGTCTTTCTGCTGGTTTCTATTTTCTCGGTGATGCCTCTGTTCTGCTGCAAGGGTGGGGGAATGATGTCCCCATAAGGATGGGATGTCTGTGGCTTCTGTGCATTTTGCCGGCGCCACCAAGATCGCAGCGAACTACCTGTAGGTGGTGCTCTCTCCCTTTACCATCCAGCCATGAGGCTCCTTTTCACCATGTGCTTACCTTGGTTCATTTCCCGGTTCTTCCCGGGCGTGGGGGGGTGGGGGTGGGGGCGGTGTCCAGTGTTTTCTTTTGTCTCTAACCTTCCTCGCTTGCTGTTCCATCAAGTGACCTTCAGCTTTGTGTTTTTCTTGTTGCAAAATATACACAGCATGGGGGCGCCTGGGTCGCGCTGTCAGTTAAGCATCTGCCTTGGGTTGAGGTCATGATCTAAGGGTCCTGGGATTGAGCCCCACGTGGGGCTCCCTGCTCAGCGGGGAGTCTGCGTCTTCCTCTCCCTCTGCCCGTCCCCTCCTCGTGCATGCGCTCTCTAATAAATCTTTTTAAAAATATATACATAACATGAAGTTTACCGTTTTAACCATTTTTAGGTGCACATTTCAGTGGCATGGTGTGCAACCATCACTACCGTCTACTTCCAGAACTCTTCCTCTTGCAAAACCGAGACTCTGTCCCGGTTAAACACTGACTTCCCACCCCCTGCCCCACCCCTGGCTCCCACCATCTACTCTCTGTCTCTATGAATTTGACTCCTCTAGGAACCTCATAGAAATGGAATCATGCAGCATTTGGCTTTTTGTGCCCGGCTCATTTTACTTACATAGGGTCTTCAAGGTGTGTCCATGTTGTAGCAGGTGTCAGAATTTCTGTATGTTTTTTAATTTTTGAAAGGCTACCTTATTTCCTTCCACGTATTAGAAATGTAACAAGTCTTTTAAACTGTGCTAGTGTTTATCTTAAGCTGGTTTCTGCTTTCCTCAATGCTTTGCTAACAGACTTGCAAGAACGTTGTGTGGGCTGCCCCAGCCCTGGGTCTGCACCAGCCCTATCATGCACAGGTCTGAAGGTGTCGTGGCAAAAACAAGGGTCTTGTCAGAAACAAGCCTGTCAGCTGCCAGAGATAAATTACCCTGATTTTCTGAGGTTAACTCATCTGTGCTTTTCTGGCCAAATTGTCCTCTGGTCACGATGTCACCCTACCCCCCCCCAATCCCGCCCCATGGTGAGATTTGGATGGCAGTATTTTATTTAGGATTTCTGCTTCTAGGTGACAGTATTGAAGATTGGTGTCAATTTTCCTATCTTGGTCCATAGTCTTTCTTACCTGTTTTTATTTTTATCAAGGTGAAATATACATAAGAAAATTAACCCTTTGGGTGGCACCCTGGTGGCTCAGTCGGTTAAGCGCCCGACTCTTGATTTTGGCTCAGGTCATGACCTCAGGCTTGTGAGATGGAGCCCTGCTTTGGGCTCTGAGCTCAGTATGGAGTCTGCTTGAGATTCTCTCTTGCCCTCTGCCACTCCCTCTGCTTGTGCATGTGCACTCTTTCTCTCCCCCCACCCTCAAATAAATAAATAAATAAATAAATAAATAGAATCTGGAAAAAAAGAAAATTAACCCTTTGAAAGCAAACAGTTCAATGACACGTACGTAGTACATTCACAATGTCGTACAGCCACCACCTTTGTCTGGTTCCAGAACGTTCCCATCACCGCAAAAGGAAACCCCATACTCCTTAAGCAGTTGCTCCCCGCCCCGCTTCCTTTTTCCCTTGGTAACCACCAATCGGCCTGTGTCTCCATGGATTTGCCTATTGTGGAGATTTCATATGAACAGAATCATGTGATACGTCGCCGTGTGTGTCTGGCTTCTTTCCCTTAGCATCGTGTTTTTGAGGTGCGTCTGCGCTGTACCCTCTCTGGTTTGGTTTGTGGGTTACACTATCCTCCGAAAGGAAAGCAGCTGTTCCCCTCCTCTTACTCTTTTTTCCTGTTCCTGGTTTCAACCTGCATCAGATGGGAATTATCTGCTACCTGAAGTGCCAATAAAATTTGATTGTAAAACCCTCTGGGTTCTGTCCTTTAGGGAGAGGTCCTTGTCCCCCCTTTATTTCCATGTCAGTCACATTTACGGATCTACTCAAGTTTTCTGATTCTTCTTGGTATGATTTTTTGCATTCTGTTTTTTTTTTTTAATTTAAAACATATATTTTGCATTATGTTTCCCCATAAATGTATTCATTTCATCTAGATCTTCAGATCTATTGGCTTATAGTTCTTTAGTTTTTTGTTTTTAAATATTTTATTTATTCATTTGAGAGAGAGAGAGAGACAGGGAACACAAGCAGGGGGAGAGGCAGAGGCAGACTCCCCGCTGAGCAAGGAGCCCAACGCAGGGGCTTGATCCCAGGACCCCAGGATCATGACCTGAGCCGAAGACAGATGCTTAACCGACTGAGCCACCCAGGTGCCCCTATAGTTCTTTAGTTTTGTTTCAGTTTTCTGTTTTGTTTTGTGTTTACCACCCCTCACCCACCACCCTTGCAGCCAGCAATCGGTTCTTTGTATCTGAATTTGGATTTTTTTTTTTTTTTTTTATTCCACAAGTGAGGTCATGTGGTGTTTGTCTTTCTCTGTCTGACTTATCTCACTGAGCAGAATGCCCTCAAGGTCCATCCATGTTGTTGGAAATGACAGGATTTCCTTCTTTTTTGAGGTGAATCCTATTAGCTTGTATATATTCATTTTCTTTTTTCTTTTCTTTTTTTTTTCTTTTTTTTTTTAAAGATTTTATTTATTTATTTGAGACAGAGAGAATGAGAGACAGAGAGCATGAGAGGGAGGAGGGTCAGAGGGAGAAGCAGACCCCCTGCCGAGCAGGGAGCCCGATGCGGAACTCGATCCCGGGACTCCAGGATCATGACCTGAGCCGAAGGCAGTTGCTTAACCAACTGAGCCACCCAGGCGCCCTATATTCATTTTCTTTATGCATTTCCTCAGATGCATAAATACACTTAGATCCTTTCCCTGTCTTGGCTCTTGTGAATCATGCGGCAGTGAACCTGGGGGTGCAGACATCTTTTCATGACAGATTTTATTTCCTTTGGGTAAAATACCCAGAAATGGTAGTTCTAGTTTTCATTTTTTGAGGACCCTCAGATACTCTTATCCTCTATACTGTTAGTTGCACCCATTTGCTTTCCCACCGGAAGATGCACAGGGATCTCCTTTCTCCCCGGCCGATGCGATTGTTAACTTCTCATTGTTTTGATCTATAGTTGCTCTTAACTTCATGTATATTTTTAAAACTCTTCTCACTTGCCCCTGCTCGTTCTCTCCAAGTGTTTATCTCCTTAGTCTTCCCAAAGAGCCAGGGTTTGGTTTTTATTCTCGGCATTTTTGTTCCTTTGCCCTCTGTTTTGTTGATTCGTGCTTTAATCTGTGTTACTTCCTTGTTTTCTTGTGTCGGGTTTTCTCTATTGTGCACTTGCTGGCCTGCCGCCAGGTCCCCTCTCTGGCTGAGCTCAGCCTCCTGCCGTGGACGTGCCTGGCTGGGTGCCTGTGGTCAGGTTCAGAGGTCCTGGCCAGGCTGATCGACTCTCAGTCCTGGATTGTGAATCTAGGGGCTGCATGGGTGAGGCCAGGCTTCTTAGGGCTGAGTGGTGGGGCAGGGCTAGGGACTTAGGTACAGGCAAAGGGGTGTTGCATCCATCAGGGGGGTGAAGCCAGTGGAAGAAGAGATGAGGGCAATCCCAGAAGGCTTCCTGGAAGAGTAGCCTTATCTGGGCTGAGAGGTGGGTGGAAGTGGGCCTTGAATGGTGAACCTTTAGCATTTTGGAAAGGGCTTGTGGGGCCCTCTAAAGAATGGATAAAAACCTTGTACCTAGAATCAAACAGGACAACTGTAGAGAAAGCCCACAGACACACAGGACAGCATGCCTAGGTCACTAGTGTGCAAAGAGAAACACTTGACACACTGGGGAACACGCTTGAGCATGTATGGGCTGTAAGCAGTGTGGCCTCAGTGAGCACCCAGAACACACCTGACCTGAAAACAGCTCTTCAAATATTTGCACACGAATGATCACAGCAGCACATTTCACAATGGCCAAAAGGCAGAAACAAGCGGAATGGCCGTCAGCACATGAATGCATAAACCAAATGTGACCTAGCCATACAATGGAATATTATTCATCCATAAAGAGGGACAACATAATGAACCTGCAAAACATGAGGCTGAGTGAAAGGAGCCAGACACAATAGGTCACGTAAGGTGTGATTTCTTTGCTATGATTCCATTGCTTGGAAAAAGCAAACCCACAGAGACAGAAGGCTGGTGGGTGGTTGCCAAGGACTCGAGGAAGGAGGAGGGGGGTGTGAGTGCTAATGGGGCGGGGTTTCCTTTTGAGGGGGTTGGAAATGTCTTGGAACTGGATAGAGGTGGTGGTGGTGTGCCACTGAATTGTTCACTTTATTTTATATTTTTTAAAGATTTATTTATTTGACATGGAGTGGGAGTTGGAGAGCAAGCACAAGCAGGGGGAGCGGCAGGCAAAGGGAGAGGCAGGCTCCCTGCTGAGCAGGGCCTGGGATCACAACCGCTTAACAGACTGAGCCACCCAGGTGCCCCCGAATCATTCACTTTAAGGTGATTAATTTTATGTGAATTTGACCTCGATAAAAAAACATACACCAAGAAAAACTTTTCCATCTTTTCGATAGATTTGGAGTATGAAAAGAAAATCTAGCATGTTCTAGCTGGCAATATGCCTGCTTCCTCTGTGCAGTTTTTTTTTTTAATTTTTTTAAAGTAATCTCTATGCCCATTGTGGGGGCTCAAACTCACAACCCGG